TGCCCCGCCGGCTCCCCGCGCTGCGTCTGGGCCTGGCTGCTGTTCTTCTGACCCTGGGTCTGGTTTTATCTTGCAGGATCCTGCTCAGGATGGGGTGGCTTCACCGGCCACCCCAGGGACCGGGAAATCGAAGGTGAAAAGGAGACTCCATCGCCAGGCTCCCTGAAGACCTGGAAACCTGGCGGGGCGAGAGGGCGCCCCTTTAATCTCTGGATTCGTCTTTCCATATTTACAGTCACCCACCTATTTCCTGTCTCTCTCTCTCTTTTTTCTCTTCTTTTTTTCTGAAGAGTTTCCTGATATGCAAAGCATTGGCGTTTTGTGTACTTCCTGCTCCTAGTTAGCACTGCTGAGAGGTCCTGCACTTTTGCAGACGCGCGGCAGTCTGATTTACAAGGTTCACGTAGTGGTGTAGTGCAAAGAGCCTGACCTGCAATTTCAGCACAGGACTCCGGACTCCAGTTCCTACCTGGTGCAGCAGAGTTGACTTAGGGATTGCTAATGGCCCCAGAGATGTTCAGTTCAGGTGTTCCGAAAGACAGTGGTTTGTCACTGCAGTGTGTTGTTTGCATGCTTGCTTAGCTCCAGGCACTTGTCCAAGCGCTCAGGTACTTCATTTAAGCTTCCTGGTAACTGGGACATAGGTACTGTTTGATCCTCATTTTACAGATGAGAAAACTGACCCACAGGCTGAAGTAGTTTTTTCAAGTGATAAAATTTTTTTAAAGTCTAAATATAAATCTGAGTCATCTTGTAATTACACTTAACTTTTCATGTGGCCAAAAACTTATTTTAGTCTTGAGTAGAATAAAATTATTTTATAGATCTGAGGACATTCAAGTAGCATTAGTTCCAACCCTCTGATATTACAATTAAATCAAAACCTAGACAGTATCAACCTAAAACAACAGTATCATAAAAGGATATGTGCTGTTTTTACAGGAATTATATAACTAACTTTTACATTTTTGATAGTTGCATAACAATTATTGAGTTGAAGTTGTATTTATTTTAAGAAACGTGGGACACAGTATCAGGCTTGGTTGGGTCAGAATTTGCTCAGTAGAATGTCTGTATTTTTAGATTGACATTATGTTTCTTTTTGTGATATACTAGAAACATGAATTACCACAGCTTGGTTTCATAACTGTATCTTTTCAGCTGGAAACATTACCCAAAGAAGATCTCATCAAGTTTGCCAAGAAGCAGATGATGTTAATGCAGAAAGCTAAATCAAGGTGTACAGGTATCGGACTGAAAATACTCATCTCAACCAAGGTCTAATTTAATCATAGTTAAAATGGTACTTTTTTTTTTTTTTTTCCATTTGCCCGAGCGCATGTGCACTCCCCAGAGAGGGACAGAAAAAGCATTCCCCATGGTGGACAGTCACGCTGCAGTCTCTTCTCCATTCTCCTTTCAGGATTTGGGCACACAGCCACCATGTATTTGAAGTCACTGAGTCTGGGACATGATTACATGCAATTGGCGTTGTGGGAGTTATCCATCTTAACCATCATGCCAATGGCTGGTCCGGAATGGTAGCTCTTTAATAGTACTTTGGCCTGTCATTTTTTACCCCCAGTGATTCCGAGTACCTGTTAGACAGTGTAGTAGAATCTATAATTAGTCTTCTAACCATTTACCCATTTTTAAAAAATTATATCACAACTCTAAACTGCAGTTACCGTTGAATCCTTAAAGTCCAGAGAAATGATTTTATAGAAGATAGGCCCAGGTGCAGTGGCACATAGATGGCACCACCACTTGGGAGGCTGGAAGCTACATGGGAGGTCTAGGTTCAGTTCCTGGCCCAGCCTGAATGTGCCAAAAATGGTTGTGCATGCCAGTACTCTTAGTTAAGTGGGAGGCCCAGGCTGGAAGATCACACCGTGGATAGACTGTCAGAAATCCTGTCTCAGTCTCTTCTATCTCCCTCTCTTTCTCATAAAGGGAGAAGAAAATTAATTTTGTTAAACATTTTTACCTTCATGTATATTATGAGTTCTTCCAAATAAAGCATTTCCCCCCCTAGAAAAGTTTGTTGAAAATTAGATACCAAGTCTTAAACTCAGAGGTGAAAAATAAAATCCTCAAGTAAAATACCATAATAAGAGATTTCTGTTCCTAGAAATTTGAAGTATCAATGTATTTGCCGAAGTTGATTGATTCCCTTTTCAGTTTGCGTTTTCTTGTGTTTCAGGAGGGAAAAGCTATTAGCATTCTTTTTTAGAGTACGTAAGTGAGCTTGACAATTTCCATTGGACTTTTGAATGTTAACTGTCCAGCCTAAAAGCCAAGACTTAAAACTTCCTACCTTTTGGAAGTCATCGGCCTGTGATAGTTATTTGTTTGGATAAATGTTCTAGGATCCAGATCTAGACGTGTTGATGAACTATCCAGATTATGCTTCGTATGAAGATAGTTATTGCTTTAAGATTACATAAGATTCTGGTATTTGTGTGAGCGTTATTGGAGTGGATGAGAAGAGAGGGGAGGGAAGATGTGAGTGCAGGGTGAAGAACAATGTTGTCCGTGTCATAATTGCTAAAGCCAGGTGACAGGTGCATGAAGACTAACCGTGCTCTCCTCTCTCCTTTTCTGTTAGGGTGCTTCATAGTAAAAAGGGAAGACTATTTTTTTTTTTTTTTTTTTTTTTTTTGCCATAAGGTGCGTGCACTCACTAGAGAAAGAGATAGAAAGTGAGGAATCATTTCATGTGGGGAAGGTAGGGGGGAGATGGTCATGACGCAGTCCCTTCTCCATTCTCCTCTTAGGATTTGGGGCACACATGCACACACATGCACACCCAACGTGATTTTCAAGCCACCAGTTCTGGAACTTGAACCGTCCAATGCATTAACCACTATGCCACCTGCTGGCCCCAGGAATATTATTTTATGGATGGAGTTAATAGCTTTCTCCCAGTATGTGCTTTGTAATTATATTTCATTTACTTCAGATATCTGCTTCATGATAACATTTATGTAATTTATCCTTTGGGAATTTTTAGAATGTACTTAGCAGGTTAATATTCATTTTCTTCAGTTCTGAACTGGACTTTTTTAAATTGTTTAGAATTAGAGAAAGAAATTGAAGAACTCAAATCAAAGCCTGTCGCTGAAGGAACTGATGATATTATAAAGGTAATGAAATAGTTTGGAATATTGCTTTGATTTTCATTTATTTACTTAGTGGAAATGCCTAATGATAAGTAGAATTTTCTTGAGGATTGTCCCTCCGCTAGAGCAATCTGGCTTTCAGTTCCAGTTCTGTCTTTCGTCTCTGCCATGGTTAATTGTTAGACCTCCCTGGCTCACTGTAAAGAGAGGGTTAATGACCTGCAGGTCCCTTTCTTTCTGAAATGAGTACTTCCTCTCCTCTTCCTACATACTCTGTAATTGTGGTCATTACCTCATCTCTTGTCCTGCACTCTGTTCTCCTCAGACACCCTCACTGGGGCTTGGATGCTGTGTAGAGATATGTCATCTGTGTAGCTCTGTGTAGGTAGGTGTGTGCCTCTGCATGTGGTTAGTGACCCCATCTTCAGCGTGCTTCTAGCCCCTGGGGAGAAATGTCCACACATCCCCCTTGTCATCTCAGCACACTCAACATGACCAAATCCCCTACCCTGGTCGGGTCAGTGGTACCGCTGTTTTGCATGTTTTTTTTGTTTTTTTTTTTACTTTAGAGATGCTTTCACTGTCTTATTTTCTTCATCTCTTACATGCGTCGGTCACCAGAGACCTATTATTGCCTCAGGGTATAACTTTAGTGTATCCTTTCTGGTCGTTTGCTTGGCTCTATGGTAGATGCATCATAGGTACTTATTTAATTACCTCCTAACTGTGCTCTCTTTCTCTTTTTAGTCTTACTACTGCCAGAACACAGAATACTGGTTGAATCTGTTCTGTTTTGTTTTGTTTTTTCTTTTTAAATGCCAAAGTACACACATACTCGTCAGAGAGCTAGGAAGAAAGCATCCCCGCGGGGGATGGTCATGCTACGGTACCTTCTCCCCCTTTTCCTTCTGTGGGATTTGGGGCAGGCATCCACTTGCACCTGGTGTGTGTTTAAACCGCTGGGGCCAGTGTTCTATGTGATCAGCCATGTAGGATCAAGCTCCCTTAACCCCAGGCTGTGGGGCCAACCCCCATGTAAGAAGCTGAGTGTGTGTTCTCATTTCCATGTCCTTAATGCTAACTGGAACGCTTTTTATTCCCCAGCACGGCCCAAGCGTGAGGTTTCTTCTGCTTCTCAAAGTTCCATGGTAGTGTTAGTCCCTGCTTTTCTGTAATATAGTTTTTTTCAATCACATATTACCTTATTTTCTTTGATTATATATTGTCTATTTTCTTACTAGGTGGCTTCCAACTTGGAGCCATGGACCCCAGAGTGACTCCTAGAGTTACCGCAAAGGGTCCTTAAATTCATATGCATTTCGCTCACCATCGCTTTGTTCTTTAGCAAAAACAACATATGAAGCCTGAATGGTGTGCACAAATGCTATCTCTGTTGCGATGTGCAGTTTCATCGAGGCATTGCAGAGTGCACAGTAGCTTTGTGTGTTTGGTCCTTGCGTGTTTTCTTAATCTGTCATAGCCAGCATGCAGCTTTGTGGTACTTAAAGAAAGATGCTGCCTCGGAGATCTGACTGGCTGGTTCATCTGCAGGTCCTCCTTCATCCACTGAGCAGCTGTGTGGTTATGGCTGTGTTCTTTCACTGGGGCACAGTTCCTCCATTTGTGGGACAGAGATCATAGAAACACCTACTACCCACAGGTGGTTTTACTAAGTGAGTCAGTACAACACTTAGAGCTGGGTCCCTCACAGTAAGTGCTGTCATATCATTACCACGTGTTATTGTTGGGGATGTTTTTATGCACACACATACACACGTATATACATATGCAAGCACACATGTTAAAAGGGCTCTTTATATTTGAAAAAAGAACCACAGAAAGTCTAATTTTTTTGCCAGTTCACTAAACCCTTAAAATATAATTGCATTTTAGAATAAGAAAATTTAAATGTCTGCCCCATTTTCTCCATGTCACCAATCAGTGCACTTTACCATTCTGTCAAAACTACTCCTAAAAACAATATTAGAGAACTTCACCCTCCCAATCTCAAAATCTAGCCCGAACAGGCCAATCACTAGCCATGTACTTTTGAGCTCTGAATGGCACTTTTCAGGGAGTAGGACAACTGAAGATTTTATGCTCAGACTTCACCTCCTGACCCCAAAATCTAGTCAGGACAGGCCAATCATAAGCCATCTATGTTTGAGCTCTGAGTGACCCCTTTCAGGGGCTAGGACAATTAAAGATTTTCAGCTCGGACTTCACCCTCCCAACCCCAAAATCTAGCCAAGGTCAGAGTAATCCTCAATTCCTACTAAATCTGCTGCACAAAGGGAGAAAAACAGAACTGCAGAGAGATTGCAGATCACCTCCTCGTGCACACCTCTGAATGCTCAGATTGAACTCCACAAATTAGGGGAAAAAACGTATTATCCATCAGATGACCAGAAAGCATCACAGAGGCACAAGAAATATGAGAAACCAAGAAAATATCTCTCCCCCAAGGGAAAAGAATAACTCCTCATAATCCACAGACAGTACAATGGAACTTGTGGAAGTGTCAGATAAAGGATTTAGGATATTCATAGTGACAGAGCTAACAGATGCAAGAGAAGAGAGGTAACGAACTCTAGAAAATGCAGAAGAGGCGAGTTCCAGGAGGTGAGGAAGTTCTTCCATGATCTGAAAGAGGAAATGCACACCGTAATAAAAAATCATACAACTGTTAGAAATGAAGGCTGTAATACAGGAAATCCCTTAAAAGTATTGTTAAAAGGAAAACAAACATTTAATAGAGTTTCATTGAGCAAATGTTAAATTGGGCAGTTGTTTCCAGATTTCCATACAACTCCAGCCAGCCTCACGGTCAACTCTGCATTTCAGTCAGCAGAAAATAAAAGTGACGTATGCAGTGAGAGGGAACATGTCATACAAAAGCGTAAGTGAGGCCGAGGAAGTCAGTGGTTACATTGTTACATTTTGAAGTCTGTCTGTATTAACACTGTTTAAAAGGCAGGGTGCCTGTGATTGAAGCCTAGCCATTGTGATTGGCCATCACCTACCAACCAACTCAGAAAAACAGCCTAACATGTTTGATTTCAGCCTATCTGTAGGAATCCAGGTGTGGGAGTGCAGTGACTGTTTTAGGCCAAAATAGTTTAATTTAACAGTATTATGTTTGGAATTGGGCCCTCTTGGGACCTGCAGTTATCGTAATGGCTATGTCTCTGGGCTCCCACGTAGTCAATGACGGTTCCAGTCCCGGACCCGGTAGCTTAAATTCACTCCAGTTGCTTGTGCATGTGTGCCCAAGATCCCGAGAGGAGAATGGAAGAGAAGGGATTGTGGCGTGGCCATCCCCCCTGGGTGGTGATCTCTTGCTTTCTCTCTCTCTGTCTCTCTGTCTTTCTGGTGAGTGCACACGCCCTATAGCAAAAACCTCTCAAAAAAAAAAAAAAAAAAAGAATTGGGCCCTCTAAGATACCTTATTCTGCATATGCAAATATTCCAATACCCAGAAAAAAATTCTAAAGTCCAAAATACTTCTCATCTCAAACATTTTGGGCAAGGGGGGACGTGTTTGTGTTTCTGTTTATTTAGGAACTCACTAGTTCAGTGTCTAAAAGTTGTTTTTGTTTTTGTTTTTTAAGAATTTAACAGCTGTGCTTTTGACCTTTGGGTCTTAATTCATCTGGAGATGATTTCTTAATATGGTGTGAAATCTTTTTTAATATCAATAACTTGCTTTCTAGCCTTAATTATTGGTTGGTCTTTCTCCACTCATCTATTACCATTCAAAGCACATTTGGGCTATTCCATTGTTTATTTCATGTGTTTCTTTGCTAATAGTATGTTGTCTCCATTATTTTTGCATAGCTTTGTAGTAAATCCTCTTATTTACTAGAGGAAGTTTTCTCTCTTCTTTGAAATACATGTTTAGAATCATGTTAGATCCTATCAAAAAAAAAAAAAACCTATTGTAATTTATTGGAATTGTGTGAACTCAGATTTTCTCCTTTTCCACATGGAGGCTCTTTACACGCCTTTTGGTAAAGTTACTCCTAGGCTCTTGATATTTTTTGTTATCATTATAAATGGTGCCCCTTTTTAAAAAAAATATTTCATTTTATTTATGATTATTAGTTTTTGATTTGACCAAAGGGATACAAAGAGAAAAGGAGTGAGAAAGCAAAGTGCCAGGTCCGGGACTTGAATCACTGTCAGCCATGTGGCAGTCCAGCATCCTAACTGTCATGCGGCATACCAGCCCCAAATGGTATATTTTAATAGTATTTTCTGATTGCTTCTGGTGTCCAGACTATATATAAATTGTACATGTGGCTCTTAGAACTCTTCAGTTGTTTTTAATTACCATAGGCTCTTTTAGGTTTTTGGTTTGTTGTTTTTTTTTTTTTTTTTGTATAAACAGTCTTATCATCTGTAAACAACTTTATTTCTTCTTTAATCTTTATACATTCTCTCTTCTCAATCAGTCTTACTAGAGAATGTTTTATTCTCTTGTTTTAAAGAACCGATTTTTGTTTAAAGAACTGTTTTCCATTTCATTAATTTCTGTTGTCAGTTTCTGTGGAAAACAGACCTGTCTCAGAGGGAGAAGGACATGGTTTATTCCTTGCCTGTTCTTTGGCCTGCCCTGTATTCAGATTGTCCGCCAACCCCCAGTGTTCGAGCTCCACATTGCACACCTTGCTTGGCAATATTTGGTGCCTCCATTTCCTGTGCTCATTAAAATGCTCATTTCTGAAGTGTATTTTCCAGCTTCTCATGTGTGCTTCCCTGTGTAGGCTCTTAGGTTATAGCTTTTTTTTTTCCTAAATCAGTTCTTCCCTTTCATTTTCAGTTTTCCAAAAATGTATCAAAATTTCTCATATCCTCATGTCTTTTCTCCTTTACTTTGTTTCTATGTTGATACCTTTTAAAACTTTTTTTTTTCACTTTAGCATGGCTTGTAGAACATGAGGAGATAATTACGCATGTGGTCAAACCACTTTTTGTTTTGGGGGGTTTTTCAGCCTTGGGGCAAACAAATCTGTCCTTTGCCAAAACAGGCACTGACCGAACGTCTGGATACTATTCTTCTGGAGAAAGCAGAGACTGAGCAACATTGTCTTTCTCTGAAGAAGGAAAATATTAAAATGAAGCACGAGGTTGAGGTAAGGCAGTATTTTAATTTTTCTTTTTTATTAACATGTATAATGTGGTCATGAATTTTAGAGCTAAGACTTTAAATCTGACTTTAACATTTTATAAATAAAAAGGTTGAAGTCTTAACAAGAAAAATACCTGAGGGGTCAGGT